TACTGGGAGTTTCATGTTGATATTTAAATATACAGCTCTATGATCTCTCCCCCACTGCTCTCTATTCCTGTCGTTAGCGCTCATGAACCTCTTCCCCTTGATGATGAAAAGGCTAAGGAAAGACATCTTAAATGTCACTCATCTTCTTTTAGCCAATTAAGGAATATATTTGCATCTTTAAGAGTAAAAATACACATTAAAAAAAACTGATGAACTCAATTTACTAACTGCACACATTGAAAAAAATCACCTTATCGCCAGAACCAGGATGACTCAGAAAAGAAATGTAAATAGCTGCTGTGATTTAGCATCGACTGTCACCCAATGTATTAAAATAAATTGCCCATGATTTCTCGCAAGCTCCATGCTAATGCACTCCATAAAACGTCAGTGAAAATGCAGCAGTGCGTAACTATCTAGAGGCTTCACTCGGTGGCAAGTAACACAATGAACTGTCCCCTGCCCGCGAGAGGGAGCGGAAGCTGGTCCGCGTCTCCAGCCTTTCAGGGAACATTCCAGCTTTGCAAAGCGTGAGTCAGCAGCAGCCCCGCCGGGGAGGTTTTTTCCTAGCACGCTCCTGGCAACGCAGCCTCTTTTTGGCTTTCCCAGCTTTGGCATGCCAGCTTAACTCTCCATCAGGGAACAGCTACGTTCTGTATAAAAGGGGACAGGTGAACTGATTGCCGTTTGTTCATCATCATATTAACAGCCATCCTCAGGCTTCTAAGATCACAACAGAATCGTCCGCAGCAAGGGCTTTCACAGGGAGAAAAAGCTAAGTTCATGGGAGGAAAAGGGGGAACAAAGTATGTATTTTACTAAACCTTTTTACTGTTACTATGACTACACTACTAACACTACCACCTCAGACACCGCAGCCAGGACAAAAGCCACCATACGAGTTCCACGATTAAACTTTACGCGTACCCAGCTTCATCCACCCAAGGAGCTCAAGTATTTTGCCAAGCTGATGAACACCCCTGCTGAGGAACGTATCGGTATTCTTGCTTTTTACAAACAGGGGAAAAAAAGGAAGAGAAAGATGACCTGACCTTCCAGAAGCGACAGCGGCAGCATCTAGCCTTTCACAGCAACTGCAGGCCTGCGCCCAATCCTCTCGTCTGCCTCCAGTGGTGCCCTGTGAGCTGAGCTCCTGGCCCAGCTCACCCTCCACTGGATTTCTGTGCTTTGATGGTCATGCTCTTGAAAGGTTTTACCTGGTACCCTTCTTCAAACCTCCTAAAGCTAACTTCTGCTATTTTAACTGCCTCACTGCCCCTAATTCTTAATATTTAAACACAGTTTGACAGAGAGTGAAGGACAGGTAGACATTTTCTTCCTAGAAATGAAACACAAAGCACAAGGGAGTCTTCCTTTCCCTCAAACGAGGGAAATGCTAGCATGGGCCCACCACTTATTTACTGCTTCCCGTCTTCCTTGAGTCCGGGAGCAGCTCTAGCACATGCCGACTCCTGCCCAGCTGATCGGAAAGGACCACTGAAGAACTGGGATACTCTGGTGCAAAGCTATTGGAAGACGTGGTAGGGGAGGAGAGGCAGGAAAGATGTAAACCCACAGGAAACCGATATTCGTGACTATGAACGAAACCACTATCCATTAACTCCACTGTTTCCCACAGAAAGTAAATCTTACGCGGATTACGTTCTCTTCAACTAATAACTTTTGAACCTATTGGCCAATTTCAACCGGCTCTGGCGAAGAAGCAGAGATAACTTCCCACAAGTCACATGAAAAGAGATATCTAAATGGAAGAGACTGACCCTGCAAGTGCCCCAGCTGAAAGGGGCATCATGACACACACCTTATTTGCCACTGAAAAATCTGCCCAGGGAAGAGCCTTTCTAAAAAAATAAAATATCAGGGAAGCGTTCACTGAGAATTTGTCATCAAACACAAGACAGAAATCAAAAGGAAAGCAAGCTCCACTTGATTCCGATGCTCATGAACATGCTTCATGTAATCATAAGGGAAAACAACGTTAATGTCGGTGCTCTACCCCTGACCTCGGTGAGAAAGCTGAGGAAGTCAAGACCCAGCCTAGGACAGCCATAAAGCAAGACTCCTACTTACCTCCGAGGCACAGCTAAGAAAGGACGTCCTAGCAACGGGCAGGGTGCTTCGCTGCCGCCCCAGAAGCGGAGCCAAGAACTGCTGGGCAGTTTTGGGACGGAGGCAGACGCTGGGGCCAAACCCGCTCCTGATGCTGCTCCCGGTAAAAGAACCCCGGGGCCAAACCGACGCCGTGCGTTTCTTTTGAAGGCTGTCAGCACATTTGGGCACTGTGTCATTCGTTTAAATGAAGGAGAGTGCCAAACATCACATCATTCTGGGTGCGTGCCCTAGAGTCTGCCAACTGTAATCCAACACATCTCGTTGCTGCTATTAACTCTGGCTTCTGTTGCCTTTTTATGTCAGTTAACAAAAAAGACTCTTTTTTTTTTTTTGGATATTCCACAACAGTTTATTCCACCACTGTAGCTATGGGATTTTAAATCCCGTCAATCTAGAATAAATTTTCTTGTTACAGAGTAAGTGTCCCTTACCTCTGCTTCAAGAAAATAATATCATTTGAAGTGATTTGCATTTTTACCCGCATAACATCTCATTTTCTTCTTTGTAGCCAGAAAGCATTATTTGCAGCATGAACCTTAAAAACCCAGATCAAGGCAGAAGGTTAAAACAGCTGATTAATTAGAGGTACGAGACACGTAGATATACTGTTTGTATCAAAAAGCTGCGTCCCCTCAGCAAATCTGATTTAACAACTAATGGTCGACACAATCTTTCTGTTTTTAGGAGACCACAGAGGTCTGATAGGATGCTGTGTGCAGGAGATAAGAAACATTTCCATAGGAGATGAAAAACATTAATCCAAGGGGATCACATTATCAAACATTTCGACTCATTATCCACTGATACTGTGGAAAACTCGACAATTGTACTTGTCTGCTAGCAATGCCATCACTTCTCCTTGTGAGAGAACTCCCATTTTCTGTTCTCCAATACTGCAGCAAAACCTTGGATGTTGACATCAAGACCAGCAAGCAGCATTAGTCCTTGAGACAGAGTTTGCAAAACATTAATGAAATCAGAATGAGACTGCAGTTTGGCTTGCTGCCCTTGGATAATGGAAATGAAATTAAAAGTAGAAGAAAGAAAAAGCACTTCTTGCTCTAGCTAAAAAAGATCACTGAATGAATTTTTCAAGAATTAAAGTATTTTATACACTATTTACTTCATGCCTTTCTATTTTAATGAGTCTAGTGATAATTGATACCACGAGAAAAGAGTATTAAGAGCAACTTATAAAAACTAACAAATAAAGGATTCTTTTGAAGAATTTTATTTAGCCAGGAAAATCTAGACGCCAAGAAGCCTTCTGCCAAAGATAGAAAGAACGTAAGGGCCTAGAGAACAGCAGGACGTGTACAACAGGAGAATGAGGAATAGAAGGACGTGCAAGAAAAATAGGAGAGAAAATATCCTGAAAAAAATCACTAATGTTTTTCCCCTCAAAAGAGCATCTATCAATCAGCTTTATCAATTTATTGCAGTGAAACTGATTATGCACCAAATTTCACGGGCACCCATTGCTGCCAGCAGTGGCCCAAATTCTTGCCAGTCCTAAAGTTGTTCTGCGAACCAGACCAGACATTTTAGGAGACTAGGTTTTTTCCAGAGACTTACCATTATTCCTGGTTTACCCAGGCTGGAAATAAAACAAGATCTGCCTTTCGCGAATAATTTCTTACCTTTTTTATTCTCCTATTCAAAAGGCACCCTGAAACGTCATATTAAAGACAAATGCAAATTTTGACTGCTGCCCTACAAACACGTTAGCTTTCAGTCTAAACACAGAGCTAAGAAGTATGATCTGTTTTATGACACCTGAGAAGAACGCACATGATAAAGTCTGGTCTGGAAAGTCCTAGGAGAGAACTGGCACCTGAGAAGTTAATAGGTGATGGACATATCTTTATCTCTTTCCACCAAGGCAGAAGGAGATTTTCATTTTTGTCTAGTTGTTGGGATGAGGTGGGGGGTTTTTTTTGTTTTTTTAAAGGGCACAGTCCCCACTGTAAATCAATGAGATCTATGCTCCTTAATCACCTGGACACATCTGAAAGTCCAATTCAAAGAAAATCACCTACCAGGTCCGATTCTGCAGGGTTTTATTCCACTTTCTCCCTCTATCTGCCCTAGCCATATTCACTGCTTTTACAGCCTCAAAAGGTTAAAGCAACCAAAGCCAAAAGATATTAGAGTAAAGAGGATAATAAACTTCGCCTGGGATCTAGCAGTGACACTGTTATAAAATGTAGTTTGCTTCATGTTGATATACAGAAATAATTTCTGAAACGCTGGCAATATGTCAAAAGCCCATCTGATAAACGCTCCAGCTCTGCCCCAACACTGCCAGGTCACTGAAAGGCTGTGCACAGAAACACCAAGTCGAGACACCTGCCTTTTTTGGCAGCACTGAATGGGTTAAAAGAAGTTTCTCCCCTCCATGAAAACAATACATGTGCTGTAATAGATTGTACCTGCTCTGAGCAAGCTGGTGAGTTTAACCCTGTTCTTGCTAGCCTGCAGAAATCTCACCGATGCTAAAAACCACGTTAAAAAGAACCAACGTCTGATACGGATGGAGATGCTTTTGTACCCGAGGTATATTAAATCAAGACAATAGGTAAGCACTGAGGTTTGTGTTTCACCCTTTGGTAGCCACTGTAGCTGAAAGGATCAGTTCAGTAGCTGGAGCTTATGCATGCATGTCATAAATAACTTCACAGCGCCTACGAAGACAGTTCAAATACCTATGCAAAGCTGCAACACTATACAGTTTGACAGAACGAAGAAGAATATCTACTGTCGGAAAAAAACAAAAAACAAAAAAACCCCATCCAAACCCTCTATCAGGATTTTCCTCTGCAATTTCACATTCTTTAAAAATATATTCAAATATAGAGGTGCCCTACCTGAGAACAAGCAGATTCCAATCAGTGCGTCACGTCCAAGACTATATATATGCTGGAGAATCTGTTAAAATAAATGAGAGGTGGAGGAAAAAGACTGAAAATACCTTATTTTTGATGAAAAGCAGGTTTCAGCTATGAGAAAAGTTTTTTTTCCCCATTACACAAAGACATAGATGCATATACATAAATATACCTAGACAAACATGTGTATATGAAGATGTGTGTGCACAGATATATATATTATGTATGCATCATATGTAAATATATATTTATGACCACACAGTTCATTACTTATACATTTTAATTCATCCAATGCGCAGTGCTACAGAATTTAATCTACAACCGACCAAACCCAAAATGCTACAGCATAAAGGTGCCACTCTTCCAAATCTTCAGAAAGCAAATAAAGCCGACATTTTTAAAATAAAATCATTACCAGTTCATATGCTGCCATACCACAAAAGCCTATCCTTAAATAACCGCTGCATAATCATTCTCCTGGAGTGCTGTTATCCATCGGCTCGCTGCCTATCTCCAGACAGACGCAGTCTGCAAGCCACCAGCTTGTATCTACCATGTGTACGTCAGGAAAAGGAAAACTGCAAATTACAAGAAGTCCCCGCAGTGGTGAAAAGGAAAAGAGGGTGAGTGGGAGAGGAAGAGGGAGTTCACTGGCCAGCGAATTTTCGAGAACGATGACAAACCAGCCGGCTCCGCCATCATCCACTTACAATAGGATGCTGCACCTCGCCTCTGCTTAAGCGGTTCGTCAAGGGGTTGCTGGTGTCGAATGCCTGACAGGCATTTTAATTGCATCCAGCCAAGTGCGTCCTCAGGAATCAGGCCTTTAATCCTATGAATATCATCAACTGGTTTCTTTTGTGCCGCTGCCAAACACACGCAAGCACACCCTGCACACAGACAGCAGCACACCCAGTTTCCATTGCTGTGCCGATCCCAATCCTAAACAGGTTTTGCAGACAGTACGCTCTGAAAAGGAGGTCTTGAGGGATTTAACGTTTTCTGCATTACCGATTAGGAGGGTGATTCGCTCTCCCCCTTTATTTTGCTACTACTGCTTCTGTTTTCGCTTTGGAACCAGCTCGTTTATGCTGTTATTTGAGCCTTGTGTTTGCTTATTCGCCCCAGTGGAAAAAAAAAAAGGGGGAACTTGAGAAGTGCTGCAGGATTTTGGGGATGAGCGGGGACCCGGTAGGACTGACACAGTGGAGTCACAACGCTCTCTGCACAGTTCAGCTTGCAAGCTTCTTTTAGGGGTCCAGTTTTATCACCACTATACCAGTCCCAGTCTCACCTACCTATTTCAAGGCTTTCTTCAGAACAACGTAAATGTGAACAGGACAAGGGGCTCGTGAATTCTAACTCCCTATATACTGAAAATGCTAAAGTCTGTCTCAGAAATCAGCCAGTGTTTTGGGAGGAGACAGGGCACAGCCAGGAAGGGACAGAAGCTGGAGAGAAGGGTTGGAAGAGGATGAAGGAATTAAACACAAAAAAAACGAACCCCCAAAAAACCCCACACACATGCAAGTGCACAAAGGTTGAGAGATGAGGTCACTCTCTGTTACCTGAAATCAAATAGCTGAATCTAGTGCTTAGGATCAAAATCTGAACAGATTTGAGAAATATGAGTTCACTTTCTTTTCGAGCTTTGTAATGAAACATCAGTGTCAGCACACGCTGACTTCTAGCAAACGAGCAGTCAAGAGAAACCAGTGAGACCAACCACATCAGTAAGGCCCAACAACAGGCTTAAATTTCCTGCCAGTCACAGGACACACAAGCCACCTAGAACCAATTCTCAACAGTGAGTTGAACAAATCTCCCATGGATTCCCAGGGCTTCTCTCCACCAGTTTAGGGGCGGAGGACTGCAAAGAGAATCGACACCCTCCCCACTTCCCCCTCAATCATGACTACCCTAGAGAAGGCCTTCCACCTATCTGTCAAACTATGTATCAGCAAGAAGTTGCTTCTCCTCATGGTTATATGCAGACCCAAGTGCCTTCATTAATAGCGTCTGTCCCGACCTGACAGTTCCCCCCCCCCCTCCAATCACTGCAGCAGTGAGGAGGAGGAAATGGAAGACGCTCGCCCTCAAACACAGCCTGAATGAGACAAGGAGGATGGTGGAGCATGTACCTGCATGGCAGCAAAAAGGCCTTCAGAAAGGACAGAAAAACAAGCCAGCGCAGTACTAGCGCGATTCTTAGACCCTTCCTCTGAGAAAGCCTCCTGTGACTCATCGAAAGGGGTGCCTGCTGCTGCCAAACTTCCCACTGCAGAGCTCGTCTGCTGCAGAAACCAGGGAAGCTCTAACGCTGTCCTCATCCTCCTCAGCTCCACCGTTTAACTGCTGCAGCTGTTCACAGCGTCACTGCGATCTCTCCCTCACTTCCACAGCTCCTTTCCACCACCGACTCTTTCCCAAAGCTACCAGGACCTCCAGGAGCTCCCAGAAACAACAGCACACAGTGGGCAAGGGGGAAGGATAGCAAGAAGTCCTGAAAATTGCCCTTAAATCTCTCTCAGGTGTTCCTGAGAGACCTCATGCGGTTCACCACAGACTGATACGTATCCCAGGGCTGTGTCTTACACCCTGGAGCTCACGGCTGAGTCTCCCGCAAGCATCTAAACCACCTTCACTCTGCCCATAGCAGGATTTCCAGGGACCCAATCTACTGAAACAGTCCTTGGCAAACAGTTTTCTAACAAGTTACTGCAAATAGGAGACAATCTTAATTATAAAGTTTGTCCTGGCTGCTCTCCCATTTATCTTTTCATATTCCTGTAAAGCTTTGTAAAAGCATTTCACGCATTTCTGACAAGACAAAAAGCCCAAGAGGAGACAGTGATGAAGGGCCTAATCCAGTTAAATGCTGGAATACAGAGAACACTTAATTCTCTCTTAGATTTAACCCTATGCTCTCTGGCTCAACAATTTCTTTAAGGGTCAGCCACAAAGGAAATTCGCTCTATAAAATTACTGCACCCCAACACAGTGATATAGGAACACTCGTAAGCAAAATGAAAATACAAACATTAAGTCTGTCAATAAATCAAGGTCCTGGAAAGGCTTAAATTATCAAACCAATGCTAGGCAGCATGCATTTTCTGCATCTTACCTCTCTGAAAGGAATAAAGACGTTTCTAGTCTCAATAAAGGAGCTGGTGAGACCATGAGTGAAGTCCAGTCTAAACTCTAAAGATCCTCTATGAATAGATGAGTTTTTCCTCTTTAAATGGCCATGAAAGCCAGTCATGAAACGGTCATGAAAGTCAGCTTCACTACTGTACTGTAGGAGTGCTTAGAAAATCCAGCCGCATAGTGGGTTCCACTGTGCAAGGTGGTGGGCAAAACAGGAGATGGTCTCTATTAAAACAGACTATTTAACAAAGCAGAAACACAAAAGGTAGGGAGCAGCGTTCTCCTCATTTTAAGGATTAGGGGGAAAAGAATGCTTAAGAGGCTTGCCCAAGGCCACACAATCTCCACCACTGCGCCAGGCTGGAAGACACTCCCAGAGCCTCAGCCTAAGATCGTTCTGCTCAAATCACTGCCGAAAGCTTGCAACCGGCCTTTAACAAAGGACTTGGGGGTTGGTTACTTCCTTTTACCAAAGACTGGGTGAACGTTTCATGCGATGCTTAAAATAGCATCTAATATGATCAGTACTGTAGATTAAGAGGAATAAGTCTGTTGAACAGAAACTGCACCACTCAGGTAAAAATAGCCCTGGAGCAATGAATTTTTCTTCCTATTCCCTATCGTCTTACCACTCACAACAGTGACTGGGGACGGCTGCCTGTGTAGAGAGGCTGAGAGGAGAAGGATGCTTTCCCAGGCTCTGCAAGCATTGTCTGTTCCTCTGTTACACATCTGAATATTCTGTTTCACCAGGTATTTGAGGATGGACCTGGCTTTTCTTTTTTTCTGCTTGAGGAGAAAATAGAACAGAGGGAAATTAAGCAATTCTGGAAACATATACGCAGCATACCATGCTAGCTCTTTCATCCAGGCTACACAGCAAGGAGGGCCGAGGCTGGAGCCACCATCAGTATCTCTATGGTTACTGAAACAGAGACGACCATGGTGGGGAGGAGCTGGAAAAAGCTGCAAGCTGAGTTAGCAGCTTCTGTGGGTAGCGAGGCGCAAAGGGTTTAAAAAGTCATGCTAGGAAGTTCCAGGATGCAGGGAGACCCTGGTTTTGCTTTGAGTCCCCTTGTTATATTTTTTTCCCCAGAGAACGAGTGTACAACAGTTTTCCCACCCATCTCGTGCAGGCAGCCTATCCAGAGCCTTTTGACTCACACTACTTCCTTTGCACCCCTTGCGTCCTCCAGCTTTGCATCCTCAGCAGCTCCATCGTCTCCACGGGACCTACCTGTCCTTCCTCCCAGCCTATCGATAAATCGGGCCAATTATATGCACTGGTGACATTCCCCTTTCCCAGCCTCCATGCAAAGGCACCTTCACACTGAGTACTGCAGCCCGTTCTTTTGCATCAACTGACATAACCTTGGCTTCTGTGTGGCATGAGCATAAAAATGAGCATTCAAAACCGAGGCAAATTATGTCCACTCTTTCTCCTTGCCATGACAGCTTGTTACTTGTTTTAAAAATGTCAGACAGATATTTTCAGGCATGATCTCTTTTTTGTGAGTCCAAGCTGACTCTTCTTAACTAAATAATACATTTGAGGAATATCTAGAAAGGTATCTCCGATTCCCATTTTGCTCTGTGCGAGCATGTCGCTGAAATCAAGCTGAAAGACAGAGCATATTCAAATTTTCCCAGGCCTGCTTTACAGAAAAACCAAAGCCGCACAGGACTCTTAAAGCTACAAGAGAAATATCTTCCCGGTTTTCTTAGGGAATCCTTGCTTTCTAGCTTGGATGCCAGTAAGAGTAAGAGCTCTCTTCCATGTGATCTACCCTGGGCAGTAAGAGTAAGAAACCAAAATTCACAGACGGTTCCTGTTAGGCACCAAAATTCCTATTTATGTATGATGAAGCTACGAATAAAAGCTGCAATGTAAGCTTTTGTATAGTCCCATAATAAACCATCAACTCTGCCCGGGGTAGATGACATGGAAGAGAGCAGCTTGATCTCATGCAGCTCTCTGCTACTGAGGTACAAGTGTCAGTGACGGTTTGTCAAAACTCCTCAAGTTGAAAAGCCATCCTCCGAGAAAAAGTGAACAAATGAGTGAGTAGTCAAATTGAGTGAGTCTCACTCTCAGTGAGTGAGAGTCCAAATTTTAGTGTGGCAGAACACAAACTTTGGAAGCAAACCTCCGTCTCAGAGAGCCGCTAAAACATCAGTTCACCCATCTAACGTCTGCCCGTTAGCGCAGCCTATAGGCACCTTGTCATGAACCCGCTGGCCAGGGAGACTTCCCCAGTCCCCGGAAGGTGAATGCACTTTCCAGTCGCTTCCATGAGCCTGAAATATCAGAAATAATTTACAGCACCAGCACTGCTGTAGAAACTCACGGCCCTTGAGAGCGCCGTGGCTTTTTACAAAAACAAATCACTGAACTGCACACATAGAGGAGCACGGCGTCTTTGGAGGCTGAAAGACAGAGCTGTGGAGTCAACGCTGCACTAAAGGGAGGCTCAAAGATCAGATAAGCGGACACAAAACTCTTGCCTTACAG